ACAATATCGTTGTAACAGTAACATTGAGTAACATAAATTTATCTAAGGCCCAGGTTTTCATTTTCTGGTTAACTGTTAACCAAAGGTTAGTCGACCTCCCATCTCTTTTTCTATTATTATCTAAGAAGAGATGGAGAATCGACCGACTTCTGGTTAACAATTAACCAGAAAATGAAAAACCAGGCCCAAGACCCAACGAATTTCTTTGTTAATCTTGCAGCTGTTAGAAAGAATTTGCCGTCAAGTTATTTCTCCCGAAAATTCTACGTTTCTATATACCGAAAATTTGTAAGGAAATTATGTTGTCACAAAATGTCACGGTGTTTTATTTTAAAGTTTTATAACTTTTTCCAAGTAAGTCACGCGTGAATAGAATTTTCAACGGTACTATACATATATACATATATTTAGAAATAAAATAGCAAGTCGTAATATAAGACAGATTCGGATTCGATGCAAAATGGGAGGAGCGCAGCTTTGCATAAATCTCCAAATCTTCTAATTACTCCGTTGCTGCTCGGCACGGAGCGGATGGAGGATTTTCACGCGGCGTACATCACTTATGGAATGAATCGCAACACGAAACTGCTCCTAGCGAGCGAGCAACGGAGTGGTATGCATCGCATGTCGCATGCCGCATGCTGTATAATTAAGCCGCGATATTTCCACCGAATACAAAACGTGCAATTATCTCATCTGGATTACAGTACCGCGCTCCCTAATACCGAAACTCTACGCAAGGCTCGCGGGTAAGATACCGCCGGGCTGGTCGCTGCAATTATTTTCTGCTCCTTCGTTTCTAGAGCGGTGGAGAGAACGCGAGATATAATTACGGATCTTACGGAGACAGCCATTGAAGTTGAGTTAACCGCTAACAACGCGAACGCAAAGTACCTACTTGGGATTTATTCTAGATTCGCGCGAAACTTATGTTTGCATATATATTCCTAAATTAACGATAAAAAGACTTGTTAAACGACATTAGGGGCTGGCAGATGGTTTATTTATTTAATTCCGACATTTCGACCACGCGGGTTGTGGTCCTTTTCAAGGAATTCCTTAATTAATCCTCTAATTTATACAACCAGTCTGCGTCTCCTCGCAACGATACAAAGATTGATTGCAATTTGCATCTTCACGTTGCTATGATTTACACGGAAATTTATATTATTCATATGTAGCGAAATTTCACAGGGTTTTATTTCAACTTGGGTTTATAATTTTTTTTTTGCTACGTCTGCCACCTGAGTGGAATTTTCAACACATCCAGAAATAAAATAGTAACGTCCGTTTTTACGAATGCAGATTAACTTTAATCTCGGCTTAAATGACTCCTTAACGTTTTCTAATTTATAAAACTAGAAAAAGGTATAAAGTGAGTTGAACCGCGATCAAAATTAAGCTGCATTGGTAGAAATGGATATGAGATGAACAAATATTATCGCAACGCGTGATTGAAGAAATAATGGATCTATTCACAGCACGTTCGTACACGGAGAGAAGTTTCTCTTAAAATTTATCCTGAAACCATGTAAACGTGGAACAACGTGGCATTTTGAAGAACCTTGAGTCCTTTGAAATTTTACTTTCACTAGTAAAATGTGTGATAAAATTTCAAAAACGCTCATAAAATTCCTCAAAATGCCATGTATCCCACGATTACTTGATTTTTAGGATAAATTTTAAGAAAAAATTCACTCTGTGTAGTGTTAAAATTTGCAGAGAATTATAGTACATATTTTCCCTCGTATTATAATTATGCCATGAAAATAAAAAAAATTGTTGCAAAGAAATAGCGCGAGTGGCATAGCTTTGTCGCCGTGAGTATTTCTGCGCGTTGTGCAGAAGCAGCTGCACAACACACGGGGATCTATTTTAATCCTTTCGCGCCGCACACGGAGGACGCCGCGACGAGTTTTTGCGAAAACCTCATATTTCTCGCCAGCGTTCCTTTCCTTTCGTTCTACGAGCGCCGTCGACATAATTGGCGATTATTCTGCATTTAAACGCGTGTGGCGCGCGCTCTTCGCAGAGCCTGTCTCGTTCTTTTCTTTCTCGGTGTTTTTTATTAATAAACTCGTTTCTTGTCACGTCATCCTTCCGGACTCTCGCCAAGATCGAAGGAGGATCGATGACGATCAATCATCGATATCTCAATCAACGAGGCGATGATTTTTTGATTAATAAACGCGACTCGGCAATTTGTGTTAGTAAAAAGGACGAGGGGAGGGACGCGCGCGCGACTAAAGTTTTTAAAGAGATACTTGTCATCCGACTTGTTCAGTAATTAGATTCTCTTTTGTCGAAGAATTCTTTACTTTTTATAACTCCCGTACATGACTTTACTCTTATTTATCGCTTATTCTGTTTTCTAACGATCGATGACCAGACACATTGTACAACGAAATTTCTGACTTATAACACGAGTCTTGTAAGTCTTTATTATTAAAAAAAACACTTTAATTTCAATTCCTGTTACGCAAGATCTCATTTTAATTTGTTTAACGTAAAGAATTATTTAACGCCAGTAACCGATTAACCAATGACAACCGGCAACCCGAATCGGCGCGCAGTTCTAGCAGAAAACTAAACGCGAAGATGTCATCAGTAATACTGTTTATTGCGATAAATATTACCACATGCCTCAGTGGTCGAATTGATGAGACGCTCGCCTAGGGTATAGGTTCAAACCCTGGCTGAGATAATATTTTTTGCAATGAATTTCTTTAATTAGAATTTGCCAGCCAAGCGTCGTCAAGCAATTTTCTACATTGGTTAATTTAGTTTATATGTTGTTTTTCTGTTCTTCAGACATTTGTAGGTATTTTTCTAAGTTCGTTACCTGAAGAGGACCAGTATTACTGGCCGAAACGTTGTGATTTATTATAATAAAGAATTGCCAGTAAGGTCGTTTCCACGCTGATTCAACTTCTTTACTTTTTATTTAATGTCAATATGACAATTAATAATGTCAGTGCTGCAATATCGAATAAAGCCGCCCGGAACATAATGGATGACAAAGTTAAAATTTCAGATTAATGTTGCAACTTGTTTAAACCGATGGCGTTCGTTGTCGCGATTGTTAACACGGTTAACACCACTGACGACGCGCGCAGTGCCGACAATGCGATCCCGAGTCTGATACTCTAGCCGACTTTGTCGCACAATGCCCAGTCCCGATCGTGTATGCGAGATATACCTGATTGTTAAGATCGAAATACAACGGGGGCGATTCTCCCTTTCGCACGAGCGAATTTATATCCGATAAGTCAACCGCGCACGACGTTCAACACCCGCCTGTTGCGTCACGCGGCAGCTACTTTGCTTTAGTCCCAGTCTACAATAGATGATTTAAGCCCTAAGCTTTAAGAAATTGGCCAATCACGGTCAAGTATGAGAAGAATGCGCGACTGTGATTAGTCAATTTCTTAAGGCTTAGGGCTTAAATCTCTATTGTAGACTGGGACTTACGGTTGCGGTAAATTAA